TGATATATACCTTCAAGTACATTCAAATTGTCCCTATTAACATATATTTAAACTTAATAAAGAGTCAACTTAGAATCCATTTCATGGAAGTTCAAATTAATATAATTCAAGTCTCAATAATTTTATGTTTGAGTCATAAGAAACTATATGAAACTCATTCAAAATATACTTACTATGAGTCATATTTCACATAGTGTGCATTTGCTAACTCCACATAGTATATCAATTAAATGAGATGAAACTAAATGTTTTGCATGGAACTTAACAATTTAGTTAAGTATAACTCAACAAAAAAAAAGCTCAATTTATGCATTTACTATCACAACAAATTCATCGAAAATTTAATCAAAGCAAAAATTATAAGTTGATGTTTTGTTATACACTTTGAGATTTTTGGGGATCATAGTGGAAATGAAGGTAGTTTGTTCTTAGTTTTATAAATAATCAAACTTAAAAGTGTTATAAAAAAATTATCCTTTGACAAGGAAAAATAATAATATTTATTATATCCTCATGTATTATAATTATCCTTTCACAAGGAAAAAAAAAATCTTTGACAAGGAAATCCATAGATAGGTTCCCTTAATATGTACTCAAATCTAGATTGGTGAATCTTGAATAAGTTCATATAAGACTCTAAGATGTCTAACTAGACCCAAACTCTATTTGAAATTTTTAGACAAAACATATTAATCTTGATGGTTTCCCTCAATTAATGTTGACTAGGGATTGATGGACACATTTTTGACAATATAAGTTGATCATCTTATACATAGCCACATCTTATGATGTTAAACTAGCCTATCTTAAATCATGTCAAACTTAAATGTTGAACCAATTGATTAATTTAGTCAATTAGGTTTAATTAACCATATTGATCTCTTATTGGTGGACTAATTTGCTTCCTTCTGAACTAACTTGATGCAATTGGCCAATTGTAGCTCATGGCTAGCCCAAATTAATTAGAAGTTCCTCAACTAAACTAATGGAATACTTAAGGAAAGAATACCATCAAAGCACTTGGCCTTGATCTATGGTAGCTTGCAATACCAATTATTTATCTTCAAAGCTCTTGAACTTGATCTATAACTCAAGATCCATATAGCTTGTTTAACCCCAGTTGAGTTCAACTAAGCCTAGTATGGCTATTTTTGTCCAATCCTTGCAAATTGCCTTTAAACATTCTTGAACTTCATTCGTAGCATTCCTCAAGACCTTCCTAAGCCTTTTATGAGTACATATTAAATTAAATTGCTTATTCTATAACTAAAGTAATCATTAATATCCATTAGTTTGACTAGAGCTAAAGCCCTTTTTATCATCCATAATCAATATTAATATCCAAAAGTTAGATTAGCTTACTTTTAATAAACCTTAGAATATCTTAAAATCTATAGAAAGTTTCAGATCTTATTTTTATAGATAAATATAACTTTGTTAACATTTTATAAAACTATAAACACACTAAGAGATTTAAATGGATCAAAATCCTAGTTATCTAAAATAAAATATTGAACTTAATGACTTCCTATAATAAATATTTATCTAGGATTGATGCACACTTCTATGACCATATGAACCAATTGATTTGGTGATATATCTAGCATACTAACTTAGTCAAATATTGTTTATACCTAAATTAATATAAATCTTGGCCTAATTGACTAATTGAGTCAATTAGATTCAATTAACCTGATCAAGGCTCAATTAATTTGTATTTTCTTCCTTTGGTCAACATTGTAGATGTCCAGGTCTTCTTCAACGACAAAGACCACTTAACGCCCGCTCCGCTAGGGTTTTTCCCTATAGCCGCTTCTCCGACATTTAGGGTGCTGGTTTCACCGACTTTGTTCATTTGCGAAGCATCTCTCGTCATTCATTCAGGTTCAAGGAAGTCTCGTCTCCTATAATTTGTTGAACCTTCTTCGACTAAATATAACCATTTTCTAACGCTTTATCTGATATTTCTTTCCATGCTTGTTTTTCTGATCTCAACCCATCAATTTTTTATGGTTTGTCGTCTCTTCGGATTTTGGATGATGAGGTGCTCGCCCTTGCTGACACTAGAAGTTTGTTTTGGTTGGTTTCTTTCTCTCCGGTAGTTTGGACCATTGTCATATGTTGATTAAGTTGGTGAATGACCTCGACTATAGCACTGTTTTCTTTCATATATCTTATTTTGTTAGAAATTTTTACATTAAGTTGACCAAATGGTCTCCTCTTGATGATATTGGTGTGGAGTCCCCTGTCACATCGATATGGATTTCATTCCCCAACTTGAAGCCACATTTTTTCCCCCTGTTTTCTTCACGGATTGTATTTTTTATTTGGTTGTCCCCTAAAGGTGGATCATGCGACCTATGTTGGCTCCCATCCCTCTATGGCGAGTGTATTACTTGAGCTTAGCATTACAAAAAAATATTCTGATAAAGTTTGAATTGGTCCTAAAAAATTTGGTTATTTTTAGCATGTTGTCATGGATGAGTTTCCCCATTTTTGTATGCAATGCAAATCAATTGGTCATTTGCCCGGTGAATGTCATTCTTCAAATTCAGTGATTGATTCAGGTTTAATCGTAATTCTGGTGAGAAGGTTAATGCCGTGGTTGAAAATGGGGTTGTTGGCGGTCCTGTGGAAAATTGTCTTCCCACTGTAACTCCTGTTAGTCCTATTGAGGTTGTGTTTAATGGGGAAATTGGTATGGATGATGCTTTAGCTATGGAAATGAGCAATGACAACACTGAGGATACTACTCTTAGTGAAAGGATATCGATGGCTCTTTCTTGAGGTATTAATGAGGTTGTGGTTGAGGCTTCTAAACCTAACAATTGCTTAGTCAATTTGGAAGCAAGTCCTATTGTCAATCCTGATTCCTATGTTGATGTCTGTGATGGTGTAGCTACGATTTTTTAGGAGATTGTCCATCAAGGGTCAGGGGACTGTGTGGTTGATCCAGAGTTGAGCCCTTTGGTGGGTGTGAAACCATTGGGTTTAGCTGCTGAATGTATGGATTCTCCTACGATTTTGTTGGAACCGTCGAATAAGCTTTAGGTTGATGTCCCTGTTTCACTAATTTCTAATGAGGTCTTGAAAGTTCATTAAGCAAGTGTGGAGCAAAATGACAGGCTTGAGGAGTATGTCTCCTCACCTCGCGGGGATGTTGGGGAAGACTTCCTTAAGTATGAAAATGATGTTCATGCTATGTTTATCTTAAAGGACAATTGGAGTGGTGAAAAAGCTTTTGCTTTGAAGGGTGGAAAATGTGGAATTAAGTAGAAACTCTAGAAGGAAGTAATTCATTTTATTGTTGGATCTTTGGATGTTTAGTCTCATTTTTGGGCTATGATGTGGCTTTTGGCTCACTACCTGGGCTCCGTGGCTTGTTGGCAACCATTTGTGGTGGATCTTCTTGCTCTTTTTGTGGCCTTATTTCGGGCAATGTTTGTTATTTGGCTTTTTGGTGGTTTGTTGCTTATTTCCTCCTTTGGATGGTCTGTGCCAGGCGTTTGGGTGGTTGGGAGCTTGTGCCAATTACTGAGCCCGATTCGCTTGTTGTCCTCTTTATTTTCGAGTTCTACTATCTCTACTGTTGTCTTGTTATATTTCTTTTTGTTCTTTTTTTGTTTTGGTTGTAACCTTTCTCTTTTAATGTTATAAAATGTTCCTTCTTAATAAAATTAAAATAATAATAATAATAATAATAATAATAATAATAAATTTCTTCCTTAGGTTCTAATTAGACCCTTCAATTTATCCTGATTTAAGAACTACCCTTCAATAATAAAATCTTCTCTCCTAGCTCAAATTTAGCAGAAATTATGATGCCCTGTGCACTCTACTCATGAGCAAGTGCAACCCAGTTTAAGTAATATGATAAAGCACACAACTTTTTTAAATTATCATCAAAATAAAAAATGAGAAATTGAAATTATATGTTTTATATAACCGGGTCTAACAAATTATTATTAAATAAAAAACTAAATGAAACTAAGCAATCTGATAAGCATTCTTTGCTTGATCAGCTTCACTCTGTATTGGAATTGATGTGGTTTTGAGCTCTCAAGATTTTAGGAATGATTCACAACTCTTAGAGAATGTGATGAGAAGTTTTACGAAGAAATCCTCAGAGATTTTAAGAAATATAAGTTAGATGCATTCGTTATTTTAGGAAATTAAGCTTATAGGCAATAGCTTCTTCTTCTTCAATATTTCTTTTACGAGGTATGCAATCAAATTTGTTGTTTTATGCTCTAAGAGGTAGATAATTTTGCATATTTAAAACAATTATACAATCACTATATAATCATAATTCATCTTGATTAGCAAAATATAAGGAGTAAGTTAAAATCTTTTTCAAAACCTGCTTCAGAAAGTAGTAAAAAAACTATTTCAAACAAAACCTAAGACTTCATTTCAGACAACTTTCTTACTGTTTATTTTTTATACTATAATCACAATTTCTTTTTGATCGTTGCTTTTTCATCATTTAAAAAATATATATATATACTAGAAAGCTACTTTTTATGATAATTTTGAAAAGTTAATTTCTTTACAACAACTTTATAGAAAAAAAAATCCCAAACGAAACCTAAATCTTTACCATCATTAGCAGTTGTTCTATTATTTGGTTTGTGTATGTGTAGGCTTGAAGGCATAAGGGGCAAGCTACACAACTACATGCATAATAGCAGCCCATGAAAAGCCACTTAATCACTACTAATGACATACTGGCTAGAATGCCACTTATATAATTGACAAAGTCCAACTGCACTATCTTTGTTTGATATCAAACCAATTCAATCCATAGGCAAATTATGAGCTAACCTATACACATTCAGATAGATTTCAAGCCACCACTCAACCAGCTCGAAATCAATTTAATCAATAAGCCAGCTCTTAACATAATTTTTTATAATTTGAAAGCTTTTCATGCGGTAGAAAAAGCTTTTTTCTTCTATCCCTACAATTTTTTTAGTTGAAAAATGAATACTTAAATGAACTATCATGTAAAAGGAAATATCATTAACTGTAACAATTTGATAGAGACACAAATACCTGACCTGTGAGAACAAATTATCATACCATAACATCGTGCTATGCTTTAGTTTTTTACCCAGAATGCTGACACTTGAAAGGCTTATTTACAACCACACTTCCAATCTTTAAGGTACAGTTAAACAAGGGACATAATAAAGTTTTGTTTAAATAACCAAATTATACTGGAGGAGCTGAAGCGGCGGATTTTAAAGTAAAAAATCATTCTCTTGTTTCCTCCTATAATTCCAAATAATATTGGAATACTGTTATCAAGCGCTGCTTCTCAGGCCATCTGTATCGGTGAATGCCTGCTTGGGCCGTGCAGGAGTGCGCACCAGTGCCTTCACTCCAAGAGGATTGTTCTTACTCTGCAAATGGAGAACAAAAAATAAGATACAAGCATAGAAATTATCTACTGAATTTTAGCCGCAAAATAATCTTAAGGCTTTGTTCGAGACGGCATTCTTACTGCTTCTTAAAACAGTTTTTTAATACAAAAGTTAAAATTTTTGTGCTAGAAAGCTCTTTTAAGAAGCAGTAAAAAAATCGTCACAAACGAAGCCTAAATCAGCTAGGCAATTATAAGTGTGTTCTAGCAACAGGAGAGAATATGGAAAGGTTTATTTTGAAAGCTTATAAGATTTGATAAAATTTTGAGATTTAGTTGGATTAGTAGCATTGACTTCAAAATCTACAAAAAACTTTTCAATTTTTTGTGTGAAAATGAATGATTATTTTATGAAGCACATGTTCTACAAAATACAAAACTACAAGCAACCTTTGACACCTTGATTTCTTTAAGAAGCCTAATTCCTTTCTGGTGACCTACTTATCCCATCCACCTAATTCTTCTGAATGAAAAGTCTTACAGTCTCTTCATGACTCGTTAGACAATTTGCCCAACAGCCTAATCTATCCATTCACTTCAGACAAGGTATAATTCTGTTAAGTTTTCTCACGCCAAAAAAGTTCAAATGGTTCATTAAAATCATAAATAATTGATGAAGAGAAAGATTGCATACCGCGAGACAAGTACCAGCCTGAACGTTACAGATTGGGTATTCATGAGGACAACAGCTGTAGTGATCATCGCAGCAAGTGGCACCATCAAGAGGGCAGCAACCCCAGGCAAAGCATAAGCCATTGTACTCATAGACACAGCAGCAGGTGCTGCTTTCAGGGCATGTGTAATAGTTGTCGCAAACTGATGGCGGCTTGACTGGCGATGGAGGAGACGGCCCGGGATTTGGCGGGTTTTGGCTGGTCTTAACAGGGTAGGATGCTTCCATTGCGATGCCACATTTTCCAGTTGACAAGCCTATATTACGAGCTAGTCTGATATATCCAGCCTCTCCCCACTCTGTGCCCCAAGAGTTCCTCACAATCCAGAAATCCTTGCCATCCTCGGAGCCATAGCCGACTGCAGTGACACCATGGTCAAGATCAAGACCGCATGATCCAGAGAAAATTCCCTAAATGCACAGGAATGAGATTAAATGAAGGAAATTCTAGATAAAAACAGAAATTAAGTACATGATGTAAATCAGTAGAAAATGAGTGTGGTCAAAGGAGAAAAGGGATGCATTTGACACCATGGTCAAAGGAGAAAAGGGATGCATTTGAAGAAAAAAAAAATATGAGTACCAATATATCAAATAATAAAATACATGCCAATTCAAAAACATAAAGTTCTAGCTGATAAGAAATCAAATCATATGCAAGCACATCTATTTGAGAAATCAAATAAGCAAAAAAAGAAAATTTAAGTGAGGATTTGTTCATTATAACTCAGACCTATCAAGATTGCAATGTCATAGAAAAACCCAAATAAATAATAAGAGTTAGTATTTAACTTAACGTAAACACTCATCAAATACCAAATATTTAAAGATACACCCTAATCTAAACTTCAATTGTTAGAAGTAATTAGAAACCATAGTTATTCAAAAAGAAGTCCAACAGAATCATGAAGACCTCAGTAAATATATCTAGATCAGTGAACATTGTAGATAATTAATCGAACTTATAAACCCTATTTACACCTACATTGATTTGAAGAAGGCAATTAAAATTATCCATTACTTCTCCTTAAAACTCTCAACCTTAATTTTGTGAATAGAATAACCAAATGCTAACATTTGAAAAGATAATAAGGCTTATAGTTTTCGCATACTTTAGAATGAGACTGATTGTATCAGTGTAAAAAATCATCATCAGTATTGTCCTTATCAATTGTGGGTCCAACATCAAAATTTCTCATTCTCCATTCATGCCAATCAATTGAAATTTGCAATAAACTTCTGCAAACTGATAAAAATGGTACATTTCTATACCCCTTTTTTCTTCCAAATCATATGACATTATTTTTATCGAACCATTACATTGATGCATTTTCTAGATCTCACAGCATACATCTAAACTGACTATCCCTATCACAATCCCTTTAACTTATTAATTTCTCCATCTTTCCTAGAATTTTCACATATTCATCTTAAGATTCTAATTTCCATCACATTAAACTTGACTATCAAAAAACCTTTTTGCCAAGTGCACTTATCCTACTTGCGAAAAAATAAAACCTGCAACGAAATTAACGAAACTACCTATTGAATCACGGTTTAATGAATTAAAAAAAAAAAAAACACTAACATGAAGATAAATTGTCATTGGAGGACAAAACCCTTCATGGAGGCAGCTAAGCAAAAAGATTCTGAAAACAAAATCCATGCCTACTCCCATTAATGTTGCCGCACTATACAGAGACTACAACATTATTCTGTAATTTCAATAAAAAAGTCCACAACAAGCCTATCCAGAAAGGGCAGTGGGTTACCTCCCAAGGCCCATCACAGTATCATATTCTTAAGCACTGCGCATATGACAATGATAATTTTATATCATAGAAATAAACCTATTACTCATCAATGTTATCTAGACAATTTGACAATGAGAAAGGATTTCGCAACAAGAACGTCAATGGTTAGAACCGCAATCTACTAAAAGACATATAGCTTGTCTAAGCAAGACCTACTTACAATAACAACACCTTAGCATTCAAGCCTAGTTGCAGGGAAGGCCATGGCCGCAACCCAGTGAAGTAAAAACTCATATTTTTAAACATCATGACTGCGACAAGTAGAGGAATTAAATAAAGCAGCTTTACAATAAATAAAGAAATCAAACCATCTTTCTAATTATCAAGAACAACCTTAACCACATCATGTCAAGATATTGAATCTAGATCTTATCTGTTATCCGTCAAACACCAATTAAATTCAGATATTGATAGGGTCTTACCGATTCATAGAACTGGAAAGCTCTTCCGCTGCCCTCAATGGCAACGCTAACCGGCTGGTTAGCAACTGCTTTCTTTAAGGCATTCTCGTCATTTACAGGCACATCTTCGTAGCCATCTATGCTGACCACATGAGCATTTTTCTGCAAACAACATACGTTTCTTAAGATAACTGCACCAAAGAGATTAAAACCAAAATTCACCCATACCCTGAATGAGTCGCATCTGCCGTCCCTGCTTTTGTAAGGGTAATCTTCCTCGGTGTCGATCCCACCGTTATTGATGATGAACTCGAAGGCATAATCCATGAGCCCACCGTTGCATCCCTCGTTGACCGATGTATCGCAGTCAACCAGCTCCTGCTCGGAGAGCGAGATCAGGTCTCCGGTCACGATCTGATTGATCCCTTCCACCGCAGAAACAGTAGAAAAAGCCCAGCAGCTCCCTGCAAATGAATTTAAAAACAATCAGACTAAAAACATAAAACTTAAAACAAAAATAAAATAAACCGGGCTTTGGGTACGAATCCTTCAGATCTAAGAAAATCCGTGGAGAGGACAAAAGAAGAAGACAAACGCCCTAAAAGTCGGATGTTCCATCCGAACTACCGGGAACCAAAAGGCCAAAGAAATGGAACTAACCGCAGCTGCCTTGGTCCTTGATGGGGAGGACGGCGCCTTTCTCCCTCCAATCGATAGAATCCGGCAGGTCGTTGCCCGAATCGCTCTTGTATCGGTCACTTCCGGCTACGGATAGGCGGCGCCGGCGGCCGGCAGACCTGTATCCGAGGAATTTGGCGCGGTACTCCTCGTTGGTAAGATCGGCAAAACGGTTGAGACCAAGCCAGAAAGTATGCTCGCCAGCGTCGGCAGCAGCGTTATGCTCGTCGATGAACAGGAGGTTGTCTTTGAACACTTGGAAGCGTGATTCCTTCTCCTCCAAGGCGTTGACTGATTTCTTGTGCTTCACAAGCCACCCCTCGTAGAGCAGTCGGACCTCCTCTTCACTCCGTTCAGCGGCGGCTGGTGCTGCGATGCCGGCGATAAGGACGGCAACAAAGAAGAGAAGGACTACCACCGATTTCATCTTGGAGGATATAGTGAAGATGAGGCGCTTTCCTCTGCTTGGGCTGCAGGAAGACGAGTTATATAGACTGATGATGGTGAACAATAAAACATTTATTTTTTTAAATATAATTTGCTTTGATATATAAAAATTGCAATAAAATATGGAGATATGAAGAATTTTAAAGCCATAGGGCCACGTAGGCCATTCTTGGAGAAGGACCGGAGAATCTGCTGTTAGAGTTAAAATGGCAGTGTAATAATTTGGTGTAATCTGATTGGACGCCTATAAAGCGCTGTTTGGATGCAGGTAATGAAGGCAATTAATTCACTAAAAACACAATTATAATTGTAATTAGTCTTGATCATACTTTTAATTATTTATTAATTAATTATTAATTTTAATATTTATTTTTAGCAAAAATTAATAATTATATTAGAATCTAATTTGATTATCAATTAATATAAATAGTTACTGACTTACTAAATACACTATATTTTTATTTTGATTACTTAAATCATATTTATTAAACTAATTATATTATATTTCTAGCTAATTTGATTATTAATAATTCATTTCTATCATTCATACCCTCTTATAAACTTTAATATTTCATTTCATGCATCCAAATTTATTATATAGGTGTTAGACATGTAATATTAATGTTTTATGTGTCAGATATGCAAATAGCATGAAATAAAGTGGTATGTATGTAATTTTATTATTTTTATATGTTTATTTATTCATCTCAAAGCCAATTTATCGCTATAAGATCCATCCGGACTCAAAACTTATGCCAGTTTGCGCGCATTTTTCCTGTTAATCCATTATTCTATTGTAGCTACTGCTGATGAGGATGGCAATGAGAACACTTCTGCTCAGGCAAATAACAGAACTTCAAAGAAAAAGAAAGTAAAGAAGGAAAAATTGTATGATTTTTTTTTTTTTTGTTGGCTATATGATTTTTTTTCATTTTCTTCTATCAAAAGTCAAATTCTCATTTAAATCTAATAAACAAATTAATTCTAATACTATCTAATCAAGTCATTTTTTATCTATCTCAGCAAATATATTATTATATAAGAGTTTATTTTTAGATATTTGTAATAAAATTTTAAATTGGTTTGTTATATTATATGTGTTTTAAAATATATTTAACAATTTTAAATTTAATTAAAATATTATAATTTTGTTATATGATGAGAAGTTTGACTTTGCTTCCAGCATTTCATTGATGGTAAGAACGTGTTTGTGTGCTTCAAGTTTTAGCTTTGCACCTATCACTAGCCAACTTAAAGTCTGCTACCAGCACTAAAAACAGCGCCTATCGCACCAATGGCATCTTGAACTTTTTTATAAACAACCCTGATTGTGGTGATACTACCCTCTTTTAAATAATAAAATAAATCAACTTAAATTATATTAAATGAATACAAAATTATGAATAGTATTAATTAAAGATGCCAAGTATATTATTGTTTTAAATCAAATTATAAATAAAAAATAAAAATAATCTCAAATAGCACCATAGTTAATTAATATAATATATTTGCTATCAGTAAAATCTAAAAGAATGCATTGCATAGATTTTGTTTTTTTCAAAAGAAAAATACTTGGATAGAGAAAAATATGAAGCATAGATGACTAGGTGTTGATGCATAGATTGGTTCATAAACCTTATTGTGAGGCTTCTATGATGAATGTCTTGAAGAGAAGAATTATGAAGCATATAGGGTTGTGTCATAAGAGCGTATTCATTAATGACAATGGTGTAATTAAACTTCTAGTCCATGTATGGAGGAGACATCGACCAAAAGGCAAGTTGGATTGTTGTATAGGACTTGAAAGAGATGGTTGGTGGTACAAATGTGGTTGTCTCATAGAACTTGAAGAAGTGCATGGTGTAAAAATTGGACGATTGTTAGACATACGCAATTGTCACAAGGCTAATCAAGGGGGTTGTTCAAATTTTTATAGAAAACCGAATATTAAATATTATGCAACTTAATTTTATATTCAAATATGCTTTTTAACCACAATAATAAGATTGCATAAAATAAAAATATGAAAAATAAATTAACGCAAAGATTTAGAGTGGTTTGGTCAAACACGACTTACATCCACTCCCTGAAGACTCCCTCACCAGGTATTGAACTATTACCAATGTAACTCTCCTTTTGCCCCCACAATAAGGCAGAGAAGCCTTCACAATTTTTCTCTCTTCCACCAATGCTCGGTGCGGTAGAGAACCGTCGTCCTTTCACACCCTCCAAGTGTCAGCAGAGAACCGTCATCCTTTCACACCCTCCAAGTGTCGGCAGAGTGCTGTCATCCTTTCACACCCTCCATGTGTTGGTAGAGTACCGGATAATCCTCAAAGATCTTCTCTCGAGCAACTAGAAAGAAGAAAGTAATAGTAATAAATAAAAATTAAAAGAGATTTTTACATTTGAGTAACTTTGTGATCGTTTCACACTCCACATGCAAGAACTCTCTCTCAAACACACTCCCACAAACACTCTTTCACTTGCTCTTGAAAAATCATGAAGAATAACATTTTTCACTTCAGTTTCTAAGGACCTTTTATATGAAAGACACGAAAAATTATCTGAAAATTGAAATTTTCCATTTTGAGCATATACGATTATACAATACGATCATATCTTCATACGTAGGAACAGTTCAAAAACTATTGCATATGAACTAGCACGAAACTGTATAAATTATTTTTGTACACGATGATCGTTCAGTATGAAACCTATTCGTACTGTACGAACGATTAAGAAAAATTTTATGTTCGTTGGGACGAAAAAGCACCCCATAATTTCTTACTCTGGACATCGTCTGTACGAACGGGAATTCATATAGTAGGATCAGTTCAAAAATATTTAGCATTCGTAGGGACAAAAAGGACCCGTCCAATTCATAATCTAGACATCATCTATATGATCAAATTATTCAAGTTTCCAATCATACATGTGCCAATCACTTTCCTAGTGGTATTATCTTTCAGTGTAACCTTACCTCCATACCTAGCTTCCAGTGATATGAATTATGTAATGTCTCCAGTCATATGCTTCGAGCAATCACTATCGAGGTACTAAATGCTCTCACAAGATCTTGTATGAGAGCGTATCTACAAAACAATTAAATATTAGTCTTGATAATCCAAATAAGTTTGGGTTTTTTTTGGCAAATTTAAACTAGATGCATGTATGATATGATTTATTTTATGCATATTTGGTCTCCACACTAAATGTGTTTTGCTATATAAAGTACAAGTGTATGAAATATATCTAATCATCCTACAAGTAAAATACTTAACTCTAGGAAAGGATTTTTTAATCTCCGATAATAAAACTACCTCTTCCTAGGTTTTAAGATTTTTTACTTCAAAATAGGATTAGTAAAATTTTCAAGTATAAGGGGTGTCTATTTTTCTTGAGAGCTTTCACTTTTAATCTAAGAAATGAGTTTGCATTTTCTAACACAGTGTTATCATATTTCAGGTAGTGCTCTCTAGTTTCTGATTCATCCTTAAAATTTTAAATTATTTTTCAAATTCAGTATAGGATGTTTTAGTAAGTCATTTTGCTTATTCAAAACTTCAAATTCATCTAGTAAGCTCATGTGATTGTTGTCAATCTATGCGTGATCTTTCTTAAGGATGTCATGCTCTTTTTGTAACTCTTGTAATTCTAAGTTTAATCTAACATGCATTTTTTTTGAGTTTTTTATATGCAGTATGAATTCTTTCAAAAAACTCCAAGCAATTCATCATAGGTTAAGCCACATATCTCTTCTTGATATGACTAATCAAGATTGTTGGTCATTAAGCACAAGTTGGTGACTTCTTCTTCCTTTTTATTATTGATAAATTTGAAGCTGAGTTTATCCATAAAGCTCTCTAAAATCTCTTCTTGCCCTTCCTCACATTTGCTTTCTCCTCAACCTTCTCTTTGTTATGAGTGGCTTTAAGATTAGAGCAATCCATTTTTATATGTCCAGACTTTCTGTATTCATAATAATTAGTCTTGATACATAACTAAAAAAATCACATGATCAAGCATGAATTTTGATGCATGTTGAAATTAAGAAATTTTAAATTTTAATCCAGGATCATCTAACTTCAATTTTAGTAAAATTTTGCTCAAATTGAACTTCTCAAAGAAAAAAATCAAACAACAGCAAAAGTGATCTATTTTATGCTTGAGTAGCTTAAATAATGCACTTAAAAGCATAGTTAAAAACTTCATGACATTACTTAAGGGGCCAAATAATCTCCAAATCATGCATGCTTAAAGTGAAATCAAGCATCTCAATGAGGCAAATCCAACTAGTCCAAGATTGTTAAATTTTGACACCCTTAAGATATTTAAATGCTAAAATAATGATATATTATATAGGGAATCAATATGAACTAATCGATAAACCATTTTATGAGGAGTATCAATCTTAAAAACTATAAAATCACCGATAATCCCTACATGATGGTAGTCCTAAGATAGTAGATGAGAGAGAGCTTAGAGGGTTTAGTGAACATAGCTCTATCTGATCAAAGCCATTGAACAACTACACAACCACCATCATCAAAATACCATATAATAACAATTATATAAATGTACACCATCATCGAAACAACCCCTAACTATGAGCCTTGGACAATCACCAACTAACTACTACTATAAAAATACCTAATTTCCACGTCGGAACATCCCTTAACTATGATAGTCCAATAATCATCCAACTGTCATTATCAAAGCATTGCTTGAACCTCCCTACATAACACTTCCTTACCTCACCATCATACCACGATTTAGCAATCCCTAACCATCACCATCAAATAACACCATATAACCAATATCTAATCACCTTTATTGAACCACTAATCAACCTTCATCTATGAATAATTACCAAACAACCTATATCAGATCACCACCCTAATTATTGTAGTTAAACCACCACTTGATTGTCATCATTGGATCACCATTTGATCATCATTGTTAGACCACTATTTCCAAACCATTACATAATTTCCTTCATCTTCATCAAATAACAATCTGATTGCCACAAGCTAG